GACTGTGGAATGTAAACACCTGTCTTGTGACTGCAGTTGCTGCACAGTGAAGGAAAGCAGAAACCAACATCCTCCCCCTTTCTGTGAACATCACTGGGCAGCGTGTTCGTACAGTATCAGTACAAACCCAACTTCTGCACATAGGTACAGTGTTGATCCCTTGATACAATCTTGGACAATACATCAGCAGGAATTTCATTACCTGGCATATAGGACACCGTTACGAGTCCCTTCTGAATACATTCCTAGCATGCTGCAACTTTAATTGCAAGTGCTTTGTGCTTTGCTTACAACCTTCAGACTTCAGCAAAGCCAAACATGCTTTGTTGTCCTGGTAAACCTGGATTGGACATTTGACAGGAATTTTCATATCTTTGCACAATTGTACTAACCATTCACAATCCTTAAGTGAATAAGACAGTGCATTCAGTTCAGCTTCACAAGTACTTAAGCTAACTGTTGTTTGCTTCTTGCATGACCAATCAAACAGACTCTGATTGTACATGTAGCAAACTCCAGACGTACTTTTCCTGTCTGTAGCGTCACTTCCAAAACTTGCATCTGCAAATATCTCAAGACCACCAGACTTCTGATTGTTAAATCTCAGTCTGTAATGCATAGTGCCTTTCAAATACCGCGCTATGCGTTTCAGAGCTTTCCAATCCTTGACACTAGGATTGTTGACTTGTCTGCTTAGCAAATTACAGCTAACAGCAATGTCTGGTCTTGAACATCTGGCAATGAAGTTTAGCTTGCCTAGCACACTCCTGTACAGTGTAGTGTCAGAAAATGCTTCTTCAGTGTCATCTACCTGATAACCTGTTGTCATCGGTGTGTCTACAGGGTTAGCATCCATCAGATTTAGTTTGCTTAACACATCAGCAATTTTCCGTGACTGGTGTACTAGAATGTTACCATCTTGATCTCTCTCTATTTCCAGAGATAGGTAGTTGTTTACCTCACCAAGATCTTTCATGTCAAAGTGCTCTTTCAGTTGAGCTAGGCGCTATTGTACATTGCAACATCTTTCCAAAAGAATAATAAATCATCAACATAAAACAAACAGTACAGTTTCTTTTGCCCCTCCTCTTTGACAAATACACATGGATCAGCTTTCCCTTGCTGAAAACCTAGAGAAAACAATACTTCAGTGAGTTTTGTGTGCCAACACCGTGCACTTTGTTTGAGACCATAAAGGGATTTCTTCAGAGCACAAACAAATCCCTGTTTTACCTGTACGCCATCAGGTGGAAGCATATAAAGTGATTCATCTAGAGATCCGTACAGAAAAGCTGTATTAATATCATGGTGACTAATGTGTAGATTTTCCTCTGCAGCTAGCTTGAGCATAAGCCTAATGCTTTCATATCTCACTGTGGGTGAATAGGTCTCGTGATAGTCTTCACCTGGTACCTGTGCAAAACCTCTGGCTACCAATCTGGCTTTGTGTCTGACTATCTTGCCATTTTGATCTGTCTTCGCTTTGAAGACCCATTTGCTTCCAAGCAGTTTCATTCCTGGAACTACTGGAACTAGCTCCCATGTTTTGTTCCTTTCTAAGGAATCAAGCTCAGCCTTCATGGCATTTAACCATGGCTCAGCTTCCTTCGAATCCAAACCCTGGATTTCTTGGAAACTTGAAGGTTCAAATACCTTCTTGGAGCTTTTAACAGCTGTTACTGCTATCTTAGCAAACTCATCAGCAAATCTCTTTGGAGGTTTGCCTTTTGTGGCTCTCTGTGACCTACGAATTAGCCTTAAGTCTTCAACACTCTCCTCTTCCTTCTTAGGAGAAAAACGACCTATTGTGAACAATGGTTCCTCCAATTCTTGATCAGAGCTTTCAGAGGGTCGCATAGAGGCTTTCGCACTCTGAAATCCTCTGAATCACCCGATTCAGTTTCAGATTCAGACTCAGAACCTTCATCAGTGGGTGTGGGCTGTTGTGGTTGCTTTTGACTATCCTCAGTCTCATCACCGTCATCAGGATAACATTGGAAAATTCCCACATTCTCCCCCCACTTCGCATTGTACTCAACACTTCTCGTGAGCTTAATTGTCTTAGAGTCAGTCATCATTATTCTGTAAGACCCTTTCTGATAACCTAGAAAGATACCATGCAATCCACGCTTGTCTAACTTGGAGTTTTGTGGTGAGTGAACCCACATGTCAGAACCAAAATCTTCATGTGTTTGATGTATGGCTTCTTGCCAAACATCTTCTCATAGGGGGTACATCCAATCGCTGAAGATAACCTGCGATTGTAACTGTAAACAAAACACGAGAGAGATTCGGCCCAATAACTCTCTGGAAGATTGGCATCATGCAGCAAGGTTTTTAACCCTTGAAGCAAAGTCTGATTTGCCTGCTCCGCAAGTCCATTCTGCCATGGCGAGCGAGGACTAGACAAATCGTGTTGAATTCCTTTCTCAGTCAGAAAAGCTTCAAACTGCTGAGAAGTGAATTCCCCCGCGATCACTGAAAAGAGTCTTTATCTTCTTACCATGCACATTTTCCAACCAAGCACAGAATTCCTTGAACCTAGGAAAAGCCTCCGATTTCTGCTTGAGATTGTACACAAAAATATATCTAGAAAATGCATCAATGAGAACCATGAAGTATCTATTTCCACCCAAAGAGGGCGATAGTGGTCCAACCAAATCAGCATGAACAACCTGGTATGGTTCTGTAGCTTTCCTACTAGACACCTTACCTTTCGCAGCCATTTTCACCTTGTTTGCTGCGCATGCTTTGCACTTCATGTGGTACCTGCAGGGTTTAATAGTCATACCTTCAACCAAGGCAGGCATTTTAGATACTGCCTCAAAATGCAAATGACCAAATTTTCGATGAAAATCGTGAATACATTCTGCATGCAAACTTTTGTTAGAACCTGCAATGCAACAAGTGTCATCCTGCACCACATCATCATAATACAAAACAAACAAATGATCAACATATTCTGCATGCAATACATAATCATTTTTCTTTGTGATGATGCACTTCTTGTTCTTGAAGGAAACGTCAATGTTCCGCCATTCAGCTGTCCAACGCTGAGCAGATTAGCACGTAAAGCACATTCTGTATCGATAAGTCCAAACTGTGAAGAACAACAGTTCCGTAGCCTTTACTGGGAATAGTGTGGTCATCCGCCTGGTGAATCGCACCTTCCTGCGGTGTAAAAGACACAAACAGTTTCTTATCGTTGCACATGTGGTGGGTGGCCGCTGAATCAACAACGAAGAAAGATCTAGACGTCTTCTGGACCTCTGCAACCTTTGGAGTGAAGCGTGAAACCATAGCCTTGTGCTGCGTTGTCCTAGACACCGGACCTTTGCCTTTGCCTCGGCCTTTTCCGCGCGATGAGCTCGCTGCGCTGCTCTGTCTTGGCCCTGGGATGTCTGCATTCCCTCTTCATATGGCCTAGACGTCCACACGAGTAGCATTTCACTGCCTTCAAAGCTTTGGCGCCATCTGGTGGTTCCACTGCACTATGGGATGACGTCTGTGAAGACTTCCCATTGCCCATGCAGCTAGCACCCCGGCGATCTGCTTCATTTAAAATCACGGCAGTAACAAAGTCCACTGTCAGCTGAGCAGTTGGTTGCACAGCAATCTGGGTTGCAACAGACTCCCAACCTGAACCCAAAGATTGTAGTATCATGAAAGAATACACAGCCTCTGGAAAGTTGAGTCCTCTCTGTTGCAGCTCATGTCTCAGATTTTGCATCTCCATCAGATGTAAACGCACATCTCCACCTTCAGCAAGAGCCATATTATGCAGCTTGTTAAAGTAATACATAGTGGATCCAGCTTCTGTCCTTAAGTGAGCCTCTCTCAGAGCGTCCCAAATTTCTCTGGCTGAGGTCTTATCACGCAATAGACAGAGCTCTTCTGGGGATATTATCAATGTAAGAGTTCCCCTTGCTTTGGAATCCTTAGCTTCCCATGCATCTGTAACTGGAACTGGGGGTTCCTGTAATCACCTCAAACAAACCCTCTTTCCGCAGAATTGCCTCTGCATACTGAACCCAGTCGCTGTAATTTTTCTTGTTGAGCTTAGGAATCCCACAAGCATCCTGAAGGGCCATCATGACTCTGGCATTAGCCTTCAGCGTCATATGCTGCTTTAAATCTTGCTGCGTCACTGCTGCAGCTGCCTCATTACAAAGGCACACTTAAAAGTTACTTCGATTTCCCCAGCATAGTGACTTGTGCCTGGGAGCCTTTTGCCTATTCCCGCAAAACCGGCTTTAAAAGTTCAAAGTCCAGCCATAAAGCCATTATCTTGAAGCTGGCAGGCTGCCCGGAGCAGTAGCACATACCTCATCAATCACTTCTACGCGCAGAGCAGATTCCTTTCCGATCTGTCCTCCTGCATTCCGATCTGCCGGCACTCCGATTCGACCTCTGGAGTCCATAACCACGTGTTGATTTAAAGCAGAGTCTGTCGTGCCCAGCGGAAGGATGAGGAAAATGTGTTACATACTCTATATTGCTTTATTTACAGTTCAAAGCTGGTATATTACAGAAAGACATCTTGCCCTGCAAGAGCAGAAAATGCATCCTCTCTCCTCTCTCAGCTCGGAGAGAATCACACAGTGATAAACAGGAAACCAGTGTACGTCACATCCAGTCTCCCTTTCCCGTGAGAAACTCCAACAGTTCAGACTGTGGAATGTAAACACCTGTCTTGTGACTGCAGTTGCTGCACAGTGAAGGAAAGCAGAAACCAACAAAGGGGTCCCTTTACCTTATATTTTATACAGGCACAGCAGCTTGTAACATTCTGGATGCTGGGTAGGGAATTGCTGAAGATCATTTGGATGAATTTAAATCAAACTGTGAGCTGGACAAACTGGTTTTTGATGGGGATGTAGGAAGCTGTCTTATACAGAGTCAGACCATCTAGCTGAGGAGCGTCTACACAGAATCATAAAACTGTAGAGTTGGAAGGAACCATGTGGGTTCTGTAGTCTAACCCCATTCATCGCAGGAATCTTTTCCCCAATGTGGGGCTCAAACCCACAACCTCGAGACAGAGGTGCAGCCTCATGCTCTACTGACTGAGCTACATCTTCCTCTGAGCTATGGCCCCTCCAATAAGGTGGAGGGTTACCTGCAGCTGCCAGGTGGATGTGCTTTGTCAGTGTGGCGTAGTGGTTAAGTGCGGTAGACTTGTAATCTGGGGAACCGGGTTCGCGTCTCCGCTCCTCCACATGCAGCTGCTGGGTGACCTTGGGCTAGTCACACTTCTTTGAAGTCTCTTAGCCCCACTCACCTCACAGAGTGTTTGTTGTGGGGGAGGAAGGGAAAGGAGAATGTTAGCCGCTTTGAGACTCCTTCAGGTAGTGATAAAGCGGGATATCAAATCCAAACTCTTCTTCTTTGTGTCATCTGACGCACTGTGAAAATGATTTCAAAAGTGGGCCCAATTGATGGTGTTCGGGAAAACGTTCATGGCTCTATCTTTCCTCTCTGTTTCTCAGGTGACGAAAATGGTCAAAACGGTCACAACCAGAACTGTCCGGCAGGTCCCCGTTGGGCCTGATGGGCTCCCTGTGATGGACGGGTCATCTCCCATGGGCAGCTACACTGACTCCATAGACAGGAGACACATGAAGAATGGGGAGCGGTACATCACGCCACAAGCTTCTTCCACCTTGACCCGCTCTTACAACAGCTACGACACCTATCCCGATGGTCACGACAGCCAGTACCGCCCGTTCATGGGTCACGACGGTTATGGGGAGCTGCCTGATAACTACGGTAGCTTGTCCCGGGGCGTCAATTACCGCCCGCGCTACGGCTATGTCCCCGGGAACAGTTACCGGCCGGAGGACGGTAGCTTCACGTTGCCAAGCAGAAGGGATAACTACGGTCCACTACCCCAGCCCCAGGTCCCGACAGGGAGCAACGCAGACCTGAACCGCTCCCAGCCAGAACGATTCCAGCCGGAGCCATACGGGCTCGAGGATGATAACCGCAGCCTCGGGGTTGACGACGAGGGGTATGAGCTGGATCCGGAGTATTCGACGGTGAACCGTCGGACATCAGCCGGGATGCCTGAGAGAGGAAGACCTCACAAGACGAGGTAAAGGGATTGGGTTGTATATTTGCTTTTCCCTACCTGTCTGCTCTTACAGGTTGTGAAAACAAGTGCCTACTGGGGCGGACTTTAGTAATACGGAGCCCTGAGCAAGGGTAAACTTGGGCACTTCCCTCCCAAAATATTTCTCATATATTTCCCCTCCCCCCTCCCCACTTTGCATTTCTTCTGGTGTTTTTTTCCCCATATTTAAATACGACAGAGGAACTTTTGACAAGCAATTTAATTTGACTGCAGCTTGTAGAAGCATAAAGAGGCACGTGCCAGGCCTCCTCTATAAGGCAGCGTTTCTTGTTGGCTTAAAAAAAGAAAAAATATTCAAAGCCATTTTTGCACAAATAAATTAGCCTTCGCCTTTCATTTCCAAGGAGCCTTTGACAATAAATAATGCCTTCTGTTTAATGATGAAAGCCCACGGTAATTAGCCTTTGATTGTGGGCTGGCCTTTGTTTTGTTTCTGTTTCGCTCCTGAGCTTTTCTTCCTTAAAAACAGATTTGGCATTCAGTTAAAGGCAGTAGGTTTGATGACACTTGAAACCAATGGATGAAATATGACTGTCGATACACTTCAGGTGTCTTACTCCCCTTCCTCTTCTGCCAGTGGCAGCTTTGCTCCTTTTCAGGATATGCCATTTGCCACTAAACTCCAGTTCAGAATGCTTCTCTGAGCTTTTGAATTGGTGTGATCCAGTAGTTAGCGCTACCTGTCCTTGGCTTAGTTCCTTGAGGGGGGGGGGACGACATGGAAAGAGAAGAAGATGGGAAATACAACAGCCTTTGGAAAAGGTTATTCATTTATGCATTTACTGAAATATTTGTAGACTGCAATTTCATAGAAATACAGCAAGGCAGTTGGCAATGTGCAAAATCGCAGTAAGATAAATAAAACATCCATCAATAAAGAAATTCACATTGCAAACTCCTTTCTGAGTATCAGAGCTCTTAAAGGTAAAGGGACCCCTGACCATTAGGTCGAGTCGTGGCCGACTCTGGGGTTGCAGCACTCGTCTCGCTTTACTGGCCGAGGGAGCCGGCGTACAGCTTCCGGGTCATGTGGCCAGCATGACTAAGCCGCTTTTGGCGAACCAGAGCAGCGCATGGAAACGCCGTTTACCTTCCCGCCGGAGCGGTACCTATTTCTCTACTTGCACTTTGACGTGCTTTCGATCTGCTAGGTTGGCAGGAGCAGGGACCGAGCAACAGGAGCTCACCCCGTGGCGGGGATTCAAACCGCTGACCTTCTGATCGGCAAGCCCTAGGCTCTGTGGTTTAACCCACAGTGCCACCTGTGCCCCACAACAGAGCTCTTAGGGGACAGCTAAAAGAAAGCAGGGATGATTCCTCCCAAACTTCTGCTGGCAGGGAGTTCCACCGGACAGGACCTGTCACACTAAATACTCAGCCCTTAGTAAAGACCAGCCAAACCTTAGGGGAACAGTTCAGGCTGAGAAGGCACAACTGACCCCCCAAATCACCGAGCAAGCTTAATGGCTGAGTGAACTCTTGAACCCTTAGTCTTACTGACTAAATGCTAGCCCACACTTGCTCTCAGCTTCTAAATTTCTCAGAGTAAAGTGACTCATTTGTTGTCCCTACATGGGATGGATGGCTTAGGGCTCCCAATGAGAAACGGGAGCCTGCAGCAGCTTTTACGGCTAATCACGATGAGACTTCTCATTGATAGCATATTCAAAAATTCAGTGCCGGGTCCCTTTTTGATAGTTACAGCCGCGCCCCTTGTAAGATGATAAAACCTCCTAAGATTATTGTGCAGTAATCTTTAAAAAATACAAAAATGATTAGGAATACGTTGCAACAATCAGTGGAGATCTACTGTTTTCTGTGTACCTAACATGGGCAAATGTTCTGGAGCACTCCTTCTTTCAGAGGGGCAAGTTGTGCTTTCCTTGAAATTCCATTATATGTAATAGAATTTGCACCCCATTCTCTTGAAACTGAAGCACCCAGTGCTTTCAGTGTTTCCCACTCCCAGTTTTCCATGATGCTTTTCCCAACAGGCATTCTGTAATGTCTTCTTCTTCTTCTTCTTCTTCTTCTTCTTCTTCTTCTTCTTCTTCTTCGATCACTCATAGCCAAGTAAGATTGTCTTCCATGAACAGGGTCTTAACAGTGAGTCTGGGAGGCCAATTCTGGATCCACATGTCCTTCCACAGTAGGGACAGAGGTTTCCGGGCAGGAGTTGATCAGCGTGAGGGTTTGCCAAGTGTGCCTTCCTCTTAGCACGTTTCTCCCTTTCATTCTGAGTTTGTGTGTCTTCAAAGCCCAAAACACCTTCGGTAAAGGCTGTTCTCCAACTGGGGTGCTTGCAGGCCATAATGTAACCACTCGTTGGCTGCTTCGGGACATCCCTTCCTTAGCAGGGATGGATTTCGGTCTTTCAGATTTTGGCGGTGCCCTGGGCAAGGCCAACATTCAGCATCCCCTGCCCCTCACCTTCTATTCTGTGCATGCACTATGGCAAAGCTGGGGCAACCCCCTTGGCCTGGTACCCAATACAGTGGTACCTCGGGTTACATTCCAAAAATCCCCTCAGCCTGATATGTTCTCCCTGATACCTCTCTCTTATCTTAACTCCATCTCTTTGACACTAGAGGTTTCCAGCAGATTCTGCCCCTGGAGATTCTAGACTTGGATAAGCCATAACTTACATGCCCTTGACAAGATAGGCATTTGGCCAAGTGACTGGCAAACAAAGAGTCTTTTCAGTCTACGCCCATGTCACTGAACTCTAACCTGGGAGACCAGCATTGTGTAGCCTGGCTCCAGAACCAGGGCCAGATTTAGGTTTGGTGAGGCCCTAAGCTACTGAAGGTAATGGAGCCCTTTGTATGTCCAGCTGTCCTTTGTCAACAACAAATTGTTGCTGTTTTTTGTGTTGAATATATGCTATATGGTAATTTATGGACTTAATAGGTATCTAAAGCTATTTGCACATAACAAAATATGTATTTTATCAAAGTAATTGTTGAACTGAAATACGGTTAAGAAGAAGTATATTAATACAGTGGTACCTCGGGTTACATACACTTCAGGTTACAGACACCACTAACCTTGGGTTAAGAACTTTGCTTCAGGATGAGAACAGAAATCGTGCTCCGACGGCGTGGTGGCAGAGGGAGGCCCCATTAGCTAAAGTGGTGCTTCAGGTTAAGAACAGTTTCAGGTTAAGAACGACCTCCGGAATGAATTAAGCACTTAACCCGAGGTACCACTGTACAGGGGAACTGGTCACTTTCCCTAAATCTGCCCCTCTCAATGCCTCCACCTTGTGCATGGGCGATTCTGTTCTGACTATGAAACTAATGGCACCGACATCCAAACACTGGAAATTTAGGGGGTGGGTATACCAAACCTGAGACTCATCCTTCAACTCAACCTGCAACTTGGGACCCAACCGGAATGATGATTATTACTTTTCCATTGACTTTTGAAAGTACCCTTTAGAAAGGCTTTAGGTCTTAAGACACCACTTGCTTGGCCACATTTCTGCAGCTCAGCTGCCTCCCCCCCCAACTATTTCTCCACTTAGTGACATGTTGTGCTGATTTATTGTTGCTTCCCACTAACCCCCCACTCTCCCATCCTGGTGTAAACAACTATCCCTCAGAGATCGGACATGAAAAGAGAGCCTGGCGGCTTCCTTCCCACTTAGAAATGAGTGCAGGAATCGATTTTCAATAAGTCTTGAAAGGTTAATAATTCTGGCGATAAATGAAACTCGGCCAATGGACAAACAATGCAGCTGGCAACAGGCGGCTAAAGCAGATATTATTGCCGCATTCAGAAACCAACCAAGCTGCTGAGTGTTCCTCTGCAGGAACTGGACTTTCAGCCACACTTGCATGACACGGTTATTTCCTGCCTTGATAACCACGATTGCCTGGGCAGCCTCTACCTCTGTGCGGCTGCCATGCCAACTTCTATATGAAGTTCCGAATTCAAGTGT